TTTGTTAATTGAATAAACCCTTCCCAGGAGAGGGGGGGGAGAAAGACAGATGTAAACAAACTAAGTTTTGTCTTCGGCAGACGCTTCTTCCTTTATTCGTCCGAAATTATTATTCTGCGTTCAGCAGTATAGGCTAAATACCAAATATTTGCATGTTGCATCTATAATTAAATAGCAGCAATTGCTGTTTATTTTTTAAAATTTAATTTTTTTTATTATAATTTTACATTGTTGAGCATAATCTTGTATGTCTTTACAATTTAAAAACTCTTGAAAATTTTTTTGCAATAACAGGACCCTATTTACACAAATTCACAAAAGCAGGAAACTGGTTGAAAGAATGTGACTTAACGTTTATTTTATATTCACAAATTACAAGTAATTTTTTCACAATTTTACGAAAACAGACCTTTTACAAAATGTCTGGACAGATCCCTGATAATAATTACAAAATAAACATTCACTCAAATATTTTAAAATTATATTACTTTCATGATACAAAATATACAGCATCCATTTTAAAGTGCCGAACTAATGTCTTTCATTGTATTTAAAATTTACTTAAAGATCATTAAGCCTTTTGTAACAATATGAAAAACATAAAAAAAAAAATAAAAAAAAACAGCCAGTACTTTTCCCTTAGAACATCTTGGAAGAACTGGATCTGTTCAGAAGCAGACATAAAGAAAGACATCCGGTAAAAATAAGAAGTTATCTGAAATGAAATTTCGTAATCAGTATAATGGTTAAAAGGAAAATTAATAAAAATATTCAAGCTGCGTTGGAAAAAAAAACTAACTTACATTTTTGATTAGCTCTAACCTCTCCGAGTGAGGAGCAAGAATTTCAGTTTCAAGTGCGAGTAAAATTTGCAACTTAGACCTGAAAAATGTTGGCAATAAGAATGCAAATTTTCGCAAACATTGTTTAGAAAGAAACAAGCAAGTCTCAAAAAAACAACTCACTCTTGTCTTTTTTTATCATCTTCCTCACTTTTCTCATATTTTTTAGCAATTTTATCATGGCTCATAGTGAAGAATTCCTTTAAAAAATTTTTCAAAGCATCCTGAAGTGAAAAAATTTTATCTATTTAATTAAACAAATGTTATCTGTCAAATTAGTTTGAAAAGCGAGATATCCATTCTAAATACTAATTTATAGCATGATGTACAGTCAGCCAAAAACGAAACGGGCCACCACGATTAACTTTTGATCTAAGGATTTGATCTTCACGTTCTTGGCTACGTTAATGATCAGAGAGGGTGACCTAATTAATGCAGACGATATTTTAAGTTACACAAGACCTAACACAAAATATACTCTCTCTGAATAAACATACCATTTTTTCAAAGGATTAGGATTTCTAAGCTCTAAAATATAGGGGGCAGCTGCAATCTTGGATATATCGGTCAAATTGTTTGGTCAGTAGAGCTGTCCAAAATTTTGACCCCTTAATGTTAATTTTACTTTTGTGTATTTCGCCATATCTCGAGAACTCTTCAAGAGAATTGAAAAATTTTTGGGCATAATTATAAAATTAATTTATCTAAAGACAATTTCTTGAAAAAAATAGACTGTATTATTTTAATTAATAATAGTCGAAAAACTTTGAATTCTAAGGTATGCAATTGACAAAGCCGGACGCATCATTTTAAAGTATGTATTTTCAAATGGCAAAAAAAAAAAAAAAAAAATTAAAGGGAGTAAGNAAAAAAAATTAAGAGAGGTCACTTGAATAATTCTTGAAAAATCTAATTTTAAAGAAGTTGTATAGTTAAAATTTGATTTCTCAGGAACTATTCAACTGATTATGCACAAATTTTTATTTTTCCATGTAAAATTACACATTTTAAAATGATTTAAGAAACTGTAACTTACAATTCAAAATTTTTTCATCTATTATAAAATAAATTAAAAATATTTACTATAATTTATTTTTTGGCTCTCATTAAATAAAATAATTAATATTTACTATAATTTATTTTTTGGCTCTCATTAAATAAAATAATAAATATTGACTAAAAAGCGTTTTTTGCATGGACTATCTTCCGATAAACGAATTTTATAATTGTGTGCAAAATTTTTTCAATTCTATAGAAAAGTTCTTGAGATATGGCGCAATATGCAAATAGTAAGATTAACATTAAAGGATCCAAACTTTGGATTGCTCTCCTGACTAAACTATGGGGACCATATTTTGAGGGTCAGAAATCAGAATCCGTAGCAAAAAGGCATGTGTTTTTGTGTTGCATTTCTTAAATTAAAATATGACCTGCACTAGTTAATTAGCATATTTGAGGTCACCCCCTTGAACCATTAAGAATAAGTCTTAGAATGTGAAGATCCTATCATTAGATCAAAGGTTATTCAAAGTGGTCCTCTTTTTTTTTTTTGATGCACTGTACATGTTTTACAGTTATTGCACATGTGAATGTCATATTGTCAAATCATGACATATTTAAGTTGATGGAGAAGAAAACATTTTAAATATTGAATATTTACGTATTCAAAATTCACATATTATCAACAAAAGAAAAATATAAAAAGCTACTTTACTTACCATTTTAAAAACTAGTCTACTTTTTCTAAATGTGTCACTTTATATCAATTAATACTTTTTAAGTAGATACAAGCTTTTAATGCCTCTGACTTATTCAGCTGATATTCAACATATTTTTTTTAAAGTAAGCACAACAAATAATACCTCTTTGTTTGCAATATTTGATAGGAAAGTTTTCTGTTTTTAGCCACTGTTGTTTAAATGAAGAAATGAATGAAATATTTATATTCATGTATAATGAAGTTATCGAGAGAAGAGTAAAACAAATTCATCAAAACAAGAATTTATAACAATGAGGGCATAGGAAGTTTTATGGGGAAAAAATTTTTCCTTGAGTTAACAAAATATTTGCAAAACCAAGGTTTGAGTAAGCAAGATCTGACTGTGTTACAATTTTCTAAAACATTTTCAGAAAAATGGACATTTATTATCCCAGGAAACATATTTTTGAAATTTTAAAAAACAATGTAGTTAAAATAAATAATAATAATTTTTTCCTTATTGAAATTCACATATAATTTTGAGATATTTTTTGAAAGAAAAATATCATCTCCTTATTGAGTCCCTATTCACACGTGTAGGTACATAAAAAAAATTCTACTGTATTACATCATGTATATTTAAACTGTTTGTAAATAAAATGCATTTAATACATTTAAATTAAGTTTTATCCAACATTTTATCACTACATTTAAGGCACTTAAGTAAATTAGAGCATTTTTAATTCTTACCATGGCAATAGCCATCATTCCCTCACATGGAAAGCAGGACTGAAAAACATCAAAACCAGTTCGATTACCAGAGAAAACAGAGCAAGGATATCTCAGCGAGGATATCTCAGTATTTATACTAGGGCTTGTTTCCTTCACAAAATTAACGTTCTTAACAAGCTTGTTTTTGCCCAACTAAATTTTATCAGCAGATTTTTACTTGTTGAAAACTCAGAGAATTAAGTTACAACTAAAACCGAAACAATGACGAAATCACAGATGTCGATCTAAGAAGCCAACAAACAGGTACAATGGCGACTAATACTGAGAATTCCAAAGCACGGCCTTAAAGAAAGAAAGGGTAAAAATTACAAAATTTACATCAGTGATCTGATGTCACAGATTGTCGTTGCAACACATATGTTCTCAATTCGTCAGCAATTTTTACGTGTATGTAGTTTTATCACTGATATAGTGATAAAAAAAACAGATGATGAATATAAAATTGCTGATTTTAAAAAAAATCTACTGGAAAAAAAATGAACATTTTCTAAGGACTACTTATGAAAAATAAATAATTCTAAGAGCTTTTAGAAATAACAGATTAAAATAAACACTTTCTAAGAACCATTTAAACCCCGTCTATTAATCTATATTTCATTTTGACAAAACACAAATTAATAGGATTACTCCAGAAATTATTACAATATGCTAAGACTCTAAAGAATATTAAAAAAATAATAAGTAGTACAGAAATATTGCTTCAATAACATAGACCATTATTTTTCAATAAAGTTACCTCTGCAGAATGAGTATCAGATGACTTTAATTTAAAGAAAGAAAATGCAGTTTTAACTATCTTTTTTGCAGATTGCAATACAGAATGACTAGTATTCAGCGCTAAGTCATATTCTCCCTTCAGCAGACTTATAAGCTCATCATATCTGAGGTTTGAAACTGAAAATTACAAAGAAATATTAATCTTTGTTCATCGTTACAATTCTGAACTTAAATGAGATCAAAACATTTTATCACTGTTGAATTTTACAACACTTACCAATTGTTAAAACAATTAAACACATTGAATTCGCTTTAATATTAATATGTGTACAAATAAATGAACAATTTATTGCTGAATAAATGTTCATTCGATGAAATTCATATTCTCATATTTTATTTCATGAATATTGAAAATAAATTTAACCATACTAATATAAACAAATAAAAATGCATGTGTGTTGTTTTCAATGACAATTCAAAGTATTTCTGACTGTTATGTTGGTATGTATATTATGAAAGTATAGTTTAATTTTTTAGAGAAGTTCACAACTATATGATTTGACATGCCAGGGGTCTGTTTAGAAGAACGGACCCTCCACAAAATATCTTTTCATGAAAATGGACCCTTCACAAAAATAATTTATCTATTAATCAGACCCTTCACAAATTTGTTTATCTTCATTATTGCTTTGTTAATCGAATAAACTCTTCCTGGGGGGGAGAGAAAAACGGATCGAGACAAACTAAGTTTCCCTAAATTTAAATTTCAAACGTAGCATTCCAAGAAAATATTTCTACTTTTACAAACATCACGTGCATTCTTATTAATATTAAATCATATTTTTTTTTGTAAATAAATAATTGATCAATTCATATTTATTCATAAAATTAATTAATAGAATATTAAGTAAATAAAAATTAATTTCTGGCAATTTTTTAAATAAAATATTATAAAATTAAGAATTGTTTAAGTTTACTTAATGCATAACACATTAAAAGTGATACATTACTAAGTTGTGTTATTTAAAATACGTCAATTGAAATTATTAAAAATGTCAGTGATTGTGTTTCCATTATTTGTCCAAAATTAATATTCTGTGTTGAGCAGTATAGGCTAAATACCAAATATTTGTATGTTGTATCTCTAATTTAGTAGCAGCAATTGTTGAGCAGAATCTTGTATTTATTTACAATTTAAAAACTTATATAGTCAACGTCACACCAAAAACTAAACCTACCAATTGCAAAGTGGCAGATTTTCAAATTTAGAATGGTGTCAATGTAATATTATTATGAAAACACATTAGTTTAATTTGTTTGCTTTTTTTTAAATATTATCTACAAAGTCAGATTATAGGTTTATTAGGTTATAGGATTATATGTTATAGGAAAAACCATTTGCAGTCATAAAAGAGAACAAACATTTTCCAAATATGATAACAGGTTACATTCTAAAATATTTTATGTGTAACAAAATATAACAGCCAATTCGAATCTCCCTAACTTGAGATCATATTCAAAATGAAACTAAAATAAATATTAAAAAATTAAGTGCAAAAACAAACCTTCAAATTCTTCAGAGGGTTGAGAGGGATTATCTTCCTTGTCTCCTAAAAGAAAGCACAATTTGAATACTTTGGTTAAATTTATTTAACTCATAAATAAAGATTAAAAAAAAATACAAAACTAATCTAACTCAGTGGAGTATAACTATAAGCCATATGTCCCAAAGTAATATAACTTTAAACTAGTTAGAGATTTGAAAATTGTTTTATTAAACTATTAATATGTTTAATAATATCAATCATTTTTTCTACTATGCTGATGCATTTTATGATAAATATGAATGATGCACTTTATGATATAAGAAATAAAGGGCGTTATAATATTAATACATTACATCACTTATTTACTTCACCTAATTGAAGAGATCTCATCCTATAAGAAGTTTACTACATTTAAAACTTTTGAAACACATATTTTATTGCACATGATTTAGACATTTATTGTTACTAAATAATAAATATTCAACTGAACTTAAGCCATCATTTGAAGAAAGATTCTGAAGATTATTGAGTAAACAAAATTGGATCTATTAAGCAAACATTTTTGTATTTATTTTGACTAAAATGCAATTATGAATAAACTCTTATAATGAACTGTAGTTGCAGAGCAAGATTCAGTTGAAACCATCACTAAAAAAGACAATTTGTATAAAAAAAAAAATATTTAAAATAAAAAAAATTAAACATCCAGCTAGCGTAACTTAACTGCAAAATACATCATTAAACAGATGTTACATTTTTTATAATACAGCTAGAAGTATAGCTATGCTGCCATGCAATTGAAAAGGCAATGTAAGGGTTTCAAAATAGATTTTGGGAAATGCTGCTTGACAACTATTTCCTTTCTCTAGCTAAATCTATCAATGCTAAAATAGAGCTTCAGATAATTGATAAAAAATTTATACTTGTAAATAAATTATTTTTAGCAATACGTAGCTCGTCACACAAAAATGTCAAATGTACATCTCAATTTTGAATTTCTTGTCCCTTATGTTGATTTTTCTACAGCATGGCAGTATAAATAATATATTTAACATCAGACAAATGCTATTACTTAAACAGAATAAAAAAATTTAAAGCATAAAGCACAATTTCGAATATCTTTAAACTAACTTATTTTATTTTTAAATGAAAAATGATAAGGAACATAATATTTATTAGCATTTAAATTAATTATTGCAGTGTGCTTAAAAAAAAGAAAGCAGGAAATTATTTAAAATGAATTTAAAAATGTAAATATTAAAGGCAAATACATAATTTTAAAAAAATAGATTTATGAAAATTACCATTTTCAGGAGCTATATTTTCCTTTTCTGTTGCAAGTTTCTGTTGTTTAGAAAACTGTGAGGAAACTTTCTTGTAGAAGGATTTCAAAAATGATCTTTAAAAAAATTAATTTTTTAATAAAGGAAAAAAAACTTTTTGCAAGCATTTCATATACACTAAAGAAACCCAAATTCTGAAAATTCTTTTAATACCAAATAAAACTGAGTTACAAAATTAGATAATAAATATAAATAAACGGCAATCAAATTCGTTTTTATCTAAAACTTAGGTCCCCAACACGAGCACTTTTGTCTGCCTGTGGGCATTTAAAGCTTCGTAAGGGCGTTAGGATTTTCTACAGGATGTGTAAGAGCTTACAAAAGAAACTTCTCTAAATCTCGAGTACACTTTAAAATCGATTTCATTTAATTTTGTATCAAAATAACCTAATAGCCCACCCTACATAAATTACATGTTATTAAAGCAGTTAACAATTCAGAAATTACTGCAAATAAAAAAATTTTTAAAGTTAATACTAACTAATATATATATAATAATTAATAGCCAATTTTATATTGAAAATATTTTGCTTGCTGCGCAAGAAAAATTTTTATTTTAGAAAATTTAACGAACCATTTTTTTTTTTTTAAATTCAATTTTGAATTTTCTACATTCTTTTTTATTTATCATGAACATAGTGTTACAGTAGTTCAGGATTTTTAAAACAAAAAGTTATTCTCAAGTTATAATTCGAATTTCAGAACAAATATTTTTATTTTTTACGTAAGTGCAGCTTTCATAAAAAATTGCTAAAGAAAAAACTCAAGTATAAAGTCACTGTTCAGCAGGTCACTGCTTCCATTAAATAACAATACAAATAATAAAAAATAAAGAATGTAGGAATTTTTTTGTAAAATTATTTAACAAACCTAAAATTATTTTAAAAATTTTTAAAAGGGCATTGAAAAGATATTATCTGACAAAGTGAATAAGTCAAAAAGATTGTCATCCTATGATCTAGAATTATTAACAATGTGCATTTGTCAATTCCAATTAAGAACTTAGATAGAAAAATATCAGACACTAATAAATGCTATATACATGGTGTAACACTCCATAGACAGCAGCACTATTCATCTGCAGATTTCACAGGAGATGTATTTCACAACTAGTCAAGTTAACAACACAACTAGTCAACAACCTGTTATTGCAACATTCTTGCTATGATGCCTAATTAAACTGCTTTAACATTAATTGTTTAATTCTTCAATAACTCTCTAAACACTACCCCTCCACAACATAAATTTTTAAAAAATGTTTTGGTGAAACTACGTGATTTAAAATGTGTATTTTTAGGGTGGTTTATTTATTTAATTTCTTTTTTAGTAAAGTTTTTATAAAAATGTCAATAACAATGCTTCACAATATAAGTTAATACATCATGATAAGAGAGTTTAAAATATTATTATCATATTAAATTTATGGGTATATTTTATAAGTATAATGGCCTTAGAGTTATTCTTGCCGGAGTGATTGTGAGCCCAACTAAAAAATTCTGAAAATTTCTTGAGTAAAATCATTAATGACGCACTTCAAAGAATTTATGTCTTTATAAATTTAAATCATTGATATTTTAAAAACATGAAATTATAAATAAATTTATATGCAGCATGATTTAAATGAATAATTGTTTATAAGTTTACTTTTATCTCTAATCACATTNATTGAAAAGATATTATCTGACAAAGTGAATAAGTCAAAAAGATTATCATCCCATGATCTAGAATTATTTACAATGTGTATTTGTCAATTCCAACTAAGACTGATAGAAAAATATCAGACACTAATAAATAGCAGCACTATTCATCTGCCCGCACATTTCACAGGAGATGTATTTCACAACTAGTCAAGTTAAAAACACAACTAGTCAACAACCTGTTATTGCAACATTCTTGCTATGATGCCAAATTAAACTGCTTTAACATTAATTGTTTAATTCTTCAATAACTCTCTAAACACCACCCCTCCACAACATAAATTTTAAAAAAATGTTTTGGTGAAACTACGTGATTTAAAATGTGTATTTTTAGGGTTGCTTATTTATTTAATTTTTTTTTTTTTTTTAGTGAAGTTTTTATAAAAATGTCAATAACAATATTTCACAATATAATTTAATACATCATGGTAAGTGAGTATAAAATATTATTATCATATTAAATTTATGGGTATATTTTATAAGTATAATGGCCTTAGAGTTATTCTTGCCGGGGTGATTGTGAGCCCAACTAAAAAATTCTGAAAATTTCTTGAGTAAAATCATTAATGAGGCACTTCAAAGAGTTTATGTCTTTATAAATTTAAATCATTGATATTTTCAAAACATGAAATTATAAATAAATTATATGCAGCATGATTTAAATGAATAATTGTTTATAAGTTTACTTTTATCTCTAATCACATTTGTTATTCTATCAGAAAAAATATTTAGAAATGAAAGAGATGCCAAGTATAAATTCTAGTTCTAATATTTTAAAATAAAATATACAAGAATTTTTATACATGAACGTGATCCATGATTTCTTGAAATTTCTAGACTATGGATTTTCGGAAACTTGGGATCGCAATAAGCAAAAAATCCGGAAATCCAGATTTTTTTCCGGAGCACAATCATCTCTGTTCTTGAGAAAGTGCTAGTATTGCTTAAAACAACCGAGAATCGTAAATTGCGAATTGCATAAGAACATAATAGGCAATAAAAGATTAAAAATAGATAGATAAAAAAAATACTATTTTAAGAAATGAATTAACCTTCTACCTATTTTGAGGTTCTTGTGTAGGTGGTAGTATTGCACGAATCAAATTAGTAGGAGGCTTAAACCATGGCTCTAAACATTCAATTTGAAATGGTCTGGAACACTGCTCTTCTGAAAAATAGGCCAAAAATGACTCTTTTTAAACATTAAATAATGCTTCATTTCGTAAACAAAATCAAAACTTGATAAAATAAAAGTATTTTCAATAGATATTATTCAAGATTTTCTGAAAGATTACTAAACTTAGTCATAAAAAAAATTATTTTTGTTTTTATAATTTTCTTAAAAGTTATTTTATGTTTTTACCTTAATTCGAAGTAGATAATTCTTCGAAATTTTACAACAATAGCACCCATTCCTAATTAAAATTTAAAGATTTAATATTAAGATTAATATAAAGATTTAATAGATTTAATAAATGTAAAGATTAGAGAAATTTTAATTAAACTTTACATTATTTGAAAAATATTTTACTGATTATTCAATTTAAACTGAAAGGTGATTTGTTGAATTTATTTCTATGCAAACACTGTTAGGAATAGGCTGCTGTCATAAAAATTACTTTTAAAAAAAAGTTTCTGATGTGAATAAATTGGATAATAGTAATTTTTCATATGGCTTAAGTCAAAAAGCCTGTTTCATTAAATCAGTATCATGCATTTTATCAGTTGCCAAAAATATTAAAAATTTGACAAAAATATGGGTTTTTTTTCCTTTCTTTTTTTTTAAATGAGGCATTGAAAATATTTTGGCTTATAAAGTAGGAGGAAAATTATCTTATCTTAAAAAATTATCTTATTAATTTTATCTATCATAAAAAAAGAGCAATAAACCTAAAACCAACAAATCTGAAGAAAGCATTAAAAAAAATTGGTAAAATAAAAAAATTTTAAAAAAATTAAGAAAAAGATTCTTAAAACATTGAATGATATGACATAAAAGCTATGATACAATTAAATAAAAACAAAATGAGTTCATACTTGAGTTTGATTCCTCATTATTAGTTGATGTTAAGAAATTCAATGACACAGAAGACTTTTGAAATAATTTATTTGGACTCATAATAGAAATTAAGCCAGAAGTGTCAGTTAAAGCTGAAAACAATCCAGGTAACTTTACACCACAAGTGCTTTCACAAGTTATAAACTAAAAAGAAGAAAATAAAAATTAGTAAATAGAGAGGTATAATAAATAGTGCTTCAAGCAATATAATGCTAAGCCACATTTTAAAATTATTCAGGATAGCATTTCATCTAAAAAACACCATAATGCAGGCAATAAGACATTTCTATATAATAGACAGCTGTCTAATAAAAATTTCAAAAACTTTATCTAACAACACAATAAGGAATTGCTTGATGTGAAAATGTGACCTTTGGAAAAAATTTGGCTTATCACTATGTTGTTCTACGCCTTTCAATCACTTTAAGTTATAATGCTTTTACTTTAAGTTATATAATTAACTCCATTCCTATCTCTTGGGACATTGACCTTAATTTGGGAAACAAAATGATCAATTCATAAGAAAAAGAAGGACTAAATTATATTGCTACATACACAGCATTTCGCCTTAAAAATATTGATTCAAAATTAGGAATGCAATCTTCTCAGTGCATTCAACAACAGGGGAGCAACACAGAATGCATAAATCTTTTATCTAAGGGAGGGTCATTTGTTCCATCACCAGCATAGATGGAAGTGTGTAAAGAATTTGAGTTCAAAGTGTGCATGTGTCATCTTACAGAAAATCAAAAAGTGTTATCAAAGAACTTATAAATGAGTTAGAGGGACGATAATCCCATAGTGAATAAAGCACCAATGCACTTATTTTGTCTCCATAAGAATTCGCCATCTTCATTCAGCCCTGTTACTACAAAGAGAAAAACAGGAGAAAAAATTCAAAAATGGAAAATTCCAAGTCACAGAAAATAAAATAAGTATAAATAATTAATAGTTAAAATTCTTCTAAT